ATCCCCGCTCGGCTGTATTCTCCGAGATAAATTCTTTATTTTTACTTTCAAACTAATGATAATTTTTATCATTCAATTTTATTTTTAAAGACCCCTATATAGTTCTCTCTCCATCCACCTGTGTTCAAAAATATTACATTTAAAGGGGCTCCCGGTTTTCAACCAGGGACCTCTCGATCTGCAGTCGAATGCTTTACCACGGAGCTGTAACCGTGCTGCTCTCCCTACTCCCAGATAAAAGCCTCATAATTACTTACAACCTTGTGATGATTCTACGATGTTAAGTCACAGAATGCGATATAGTTACCTCGCCATCCACCTGTGTTCCAAAAGATTATATTCAGGGGGCACCGGGGATCTCTTGATCTGCAGTGGAATGCTGTACCACTAATTTATACACCCGCTCGTCTGTCTACTAACAGATGAAACCTTTACAATTATCTATAAACTTGTGAAAATTTTTAGCATTCAATTATATTTTTAATGTGGGTGATATAGTTCTCTTGCCCAACACCTGTGTATAAAAAATTATATTTAGGTGGCAAACGGGTTTGAAACGGGGTCCTCTCGACATGCAGTTGAATGCTCTACCACCGAGCTGCACCCCCGCTCGTCTTTATTTTCAGAGATAAAAGCTTTACTTTAATTCACAAAGATGTTAAAATTTTTATCATTCAATGATATTCTTTAAAGTGGGGCATACAGTGTTAAAAAAGATTACATTCAGGGGGCACCCGTGTTTGAACCAGAGACCTCTCGATCTGTAGACAAATTCTTTACCACTGAGCTATAACCGCACTCGACTCACACTTCCGAGATAAAATCTATATAATTATTTACAATCTTGTGATAATTTTTCGATCTTAAGTCACAGAAAGCGATATAGTTTCCTTGCCATCCGCCTGTGTTACAAAAGACTATATTCAGTTTGCACCGGGGACCTCTCGATCTGCAGTCGAATGCTCTACCACTGAGCTGTATCCCCGCTCGTCTTTCTCATCCGAGATAAAATCTTTGCTTTAATTTACAAACATGTTAAAATTTGTATGATTCAATGATATTCTTTAAAGTGGTGGCGATATAGTGTTCAAAAATATTACATTCAGGGTGAACCCTGGATTGAACCGAGGACCTCTCGATATGCAGTCGAATGCCTTACCACTGAGCTATAACCTCGCTCGTTTCGCTCTTCCGAGACAAAATCTTTATAATTACTTAAAATCTTGTGATCTGTCTACGATGCTATGTTACAGAGGGCGATATAGTTGCCTCGGAATCCACCGGTGTTGCAAAAGACTATATTCAGGGGGCTCCCGGGTTTGAGCCGGGGGCCTCTCGATCAGCAGTTGAATGCTCTACCACTGAGCTATACCCCCGCTCGTATTTCTTATCCGAGATAAAAAAAAATTATTTTAATTTACAAACATGTTAAATTTTTTATCATTCAATGATATTCTTTAAAGTTGAGCGATATAGCGTTCAAAAAATTATATTCAGGGGGCACCCGGGTTTGAACCGGGGACCTCTCGATCTGCAGTAGAACGCTCTACCACTGAGCTATTCCCCACTTTTCTTTCTTATCCGAGATAAAAATTTATTTTAATTTACAAACTTGTTAAAATTTTTATCATCCAATGATATTCTTTAAAGAGCCCGATATAGTGGTTTCTCGGACCTCTCGATCTGCAGTCGAATGCTCTACCACTGAGCTATACCCCCTATCTTCTCTCTTATCCGAAATAAGTTCTTTAATTTTGCTTACAATTAAAGAAATTAATTTTAATTAATTTTTATCATTCAATGATTGTTTTTAAAGAGCCCGATATAGTGGTCTCTCCATCCACCTTTGTTCAAAACGATTACATTCAAAGGAGCATCCGGTATTGAATCAGGGACCTCTAGATTTGTAGTCGATTGCTTTACAACTGAGCAATATCCGCGCTCCCCTCGTTATTCTGTGATAAAATCATTAAAATTACTGACAATTTTGTGATAATTCTTC